TAACAATAGACGAACTCGTAACCATTTCTCGTTTTACCAGTCTACTAGTATTCATAGGGACCAATAGGGGGTGGCCCCGCTACACGTGAACCCCTTTCCCTTAACAGTCTTAATTATATAGCCGACCCCATATCTCGTCTGGTATGAGCGCCACGACATTAAACCCCAATATCCCATTCGATATGAAGGTCAAGTGGGTTGTCCACATACCCCGTCCGATATGAGCGCCAAATTACCAAGTCTCCATACCTTGTCCGGTATGAGACAACATTCACGGGTAGGGTTCCATATGAACCCGGTCCGTCCACCATCTCTCAGATATCTAGGTAAGGTTGTTATCTTATCTGTTTATTAAATCACACCACTTTCATGTTTTCTCTTAGTCTCCGTTACCAAATCGAACATAATTACATAAATAAATAAACATGCATCCAGCAATGCAATCATGTCAAGTAAGGTAATAGTACATGCATCTAAACCATAAAATAGATAAACCAGAAACTATTATACTTTTAGACTGTAAGATCAATCAACAGAAATTAACAGAGAACAATGTCTGGTTCAGGCTCCAATAGCAATATGTAATTAATTATGTACATCTATTTAATTTGTACACAATACAATATTATCATTTATTTAAACTTCAATTCCATAATAGGAAATAGAGTGAGGGATTCTTACTTGATTCGACGCTGAAAACTAAGTAGTTACTGCCCCTACAAGCGATCCCTAGGTTCCCTGAATTTTTCTTCAGGAACTAAAATGTGCTTACAGTACCTAAAAATGTCCCAAATAAACCCAAAAATCAGTCTCAGGGCCTACTTGGCCAATTTCAGAAATTCGGCACAGTGGCTTTGTCGTGCTTCGGCGACGGCGCCACCGCCCACGGCGGCGATTCGCCTCGAATTGGTTGTTTTCGGCTGTTTTTGACTGAATTCCACTAAATTTGCATCAGTTCCTACGAGAAAACACATTTAGGGCCCTCAATGGACCAAGAGAATGTAGAAAATCGAAACTCACCGGCGGTGGGGCTCTTCGGTGCGGCGACTCCTCTGGCTCACGTTGCGGTTGGGTGTTTGCTCCGATCAACTTGTAGAGAAGGAAACAGTGATCACAACGGTGGAAAAATCACATTGAACGGCAATCAGGAAGGGTCTCATCGGATGCATTTTTTGAAACACCCCGCGGCAGCGTCGCCGAGCTTCAGCGGTATTTTTCGGCCAATTGACCGGTTCTTTCACTCCGATTTAGCCATGTGTGGGTTTGAAATATAATTTCGTGCAAGAAGAGAAATTTTTACCTCATCTAGTGGTCAAAAATTATTCCGGTGCGGCGGCAGGTAGCAGCGGTCGGCTCCCCGACGGTTGGGCTATCTTCTCCGGTGAGGGGCTCTGGCGGGTAGAGTTAGGGTTTGGGTGCGGATTGGGTTATTTATACCCATTCGCTTTTGATCTGGGCCTTCCATCACTTTTGATCTAGATCGTCCGATTGCGATTAAATAGGAAGTGAATCTAGACCATTCATCGCGATTCAATCTGTACCGTCCATGCGTGATTCAATCTAGGCCGTCCACACGCGATGCAATCTGGAATGTCTGTGCGCATTTTCAATATACGTTGTCCGTGCGCGCGAGAACAGATCTCAGCCATTCGATCGCGCGCACACAGATCGCCAACGTGGCTCCCCCCGCGTAGCCTCTCGCATCAGCACCTCTGCCACCTAGCGCGTCCTGGTTGGTCGGAGCTGCTGACCGGGCATCTGACGTGGCGTAACTTCTCTAAATTATATTTTTACCCCCGATTTTTTATTTTTTTTTTCAAAAATACTCCAAGAACCCAAATTTTCACCCATTTTCTCCAAAATTGTTTTGAAATTAATCCTTAACAAATTTTACCTTTTATTTTTCATTAAATTAAAACAAAATAAATAAATAAATAAATGTATTAAAATAAAAAAAATAAAATTAAAAAATATTATTAAGTGTTACACTTTCACTATTCAAGAATTAGGTAACTTAATATATAATTTACAAGTCTGTAAGATGTGAACAACTCAATGGAATTTATTATATGATTTGTTTCCCCTAGATCACTTATCCAAGTATTTGAAATATAATTAAAAGCATCTATTTTAGTTGTAATTGTATTATAAGGGTAAGGGTTTTACCTTATTCTGTTAAAGGTTTGAAGTTTTCTAAGATAATGTTTATTTGTGGTGTATTAGTTATACCATTAGGCAAGTCAAGTGTTGTATTGATTGAAGGGTTTACTGGTTATATTAAGGCTGAGATATTATATATTGATCTTTGGTTAATAAAAGAGGTAACGCTTTTAAAATACCACATTAATTACTAAAACTCCCATGAGAATCAGCTACATTTGAATATTTGTCTTTTGTTTTACTCTCATAAGCATTGGATTAATTAACACCAATAGAAGCTTTCGACCTAGTTTTGTATCCTGGTGGATACCCATGTTTGCTTCTTATAACATTTATAACAATATCCAATTAATCTACGATTTGCATAGGTAACTTTTCTACCATTTTCACCAGTGATTGGTTTTCTAGCATTCCCCAAATTATTATATGGATTCACATTTTTTGAGCTTCCACTAGATATTCCCTTGCTTGTGTACAGAATATTAGGTTTAAATTATTAAAAATGGACAACTCCAATTAAACTTCTCGCATGCTGAAGGACCATTGCAAAGACATTTTTTTATGTGTGGTAATGGTTCTAAAAGCAAAATTTGTGATTTAACTATGGCAAATGACTCATTCAGTCCCTATAGAAATCTAATGACTTTGTATTTCTCCTAATACTTTTGTGAAATAGTGGCTATACTAAACAAGCATTGAGAATTGTATACACTAGGCAAAAATTTATTAGTTCATAGAAAAGAATAACAAAATATTTGAATGAGAATAATTCTTAACACTTACTCAAGCTAAGAAGATAGCATTTTATTCATAGACTTGTTTAATCATGAATAAATGATAGGTGTACAATATACAATAATTACAGTTTATACCACAAGACAAATTTTGTTATAACAGATTTCTGCTAAATATTCCCAAATCATTATAGTACTCATGGCTAGTAATTCTTATCTCTGACAGCAGCATCTTGTGTAGCACAAGATATATTCTTAACACTCATCCAATAAAACTTCCAGCTTTGTGTAATATTGGGTTGTAGATTGGTTACCTTGTTTGAGTGAATATATTTTCTCTTATAGGTTAGATAACCTCCCATGTGTCCCTGTGCAAATTGGTTGTGTAAATCTTTCCATAAATTTTTAGCATAATCAATCCATATCATGTTTAAAACAATTAACAGCGATAATGATCTCATAATCCATGAAAGATCGATTGTATTGCATCTCTCTCAGGCTCCAGAAATATAATCATCCTTTTTTAGAATTTAGATGGTGCCATCTACAAACTTGAGCTTATTCTTTGAGATTAGTGTCATCTTCATCGATCTTGACCATGAGTGAGAAGTATTCCCTATGAGCATCGTCAATATGAGTTGCAAAGACAAATCTTCGTTCAGGTGCAACTAAAATGGGTTGGCAAGAGTTTCTTCAATTCTCGAAGAATTTGTGACAAATGATGTTGTATCCATGGATCTCAAAGAAGAAAATTGATTTTTTTTAAGTAATCTATCGAATAATTGAAGAATACACCAATTTTTGCTACTTAAGATTTTTTCGTGCTAGACTTCAATAAAGAAAGATTGTTCTTATATGATTAAAGAATTAGTATGCTTTAATAGCATGTTAGAAAACTGAAAACGAATTCATCATGTTGATGAGTTGATCGGAGCTTCGAAGTTAGGGAGAGTAAAAAGAGTAAAGAGAAACAAGACTTGGAGTTGATGGAAAAGAAAATGGAAATGTGTGCTTCTCATTTATTAGCTTTCAGTATTTATATATACAGAAGAGTAATTATAACTAATTCTCAAGTTATGGGCTTATTACAACTAATCATACTAAAAAAAAAAAAAAACTTAACTACAGTTAACTCATTTAATTAATCATCTAACTGTAGATATCTCTAATATAATCAAGTAAAATTATAACTAATTAATTAATTAATTCCCATCCCATATAAATTTGATTTCTTCTAAAAAATTTTTATAAAATATTATTCTTGTAATCGATGTCTGCTATTTTCCTCTCCTCATCTCTTCTTCTACAATCAAGTCTCCAACACTATCAATTACTAGACGCCATGAAAGATGAGGAAAACTTTGTTGGGAGTACTGACATGAAAAATTAAGTATTTTTTATTATTTTAAAATAATCAACAACTGATGAGCTACATATATATTACTAAATTATTAATATAATTTAAAAGATTGTACTACTACGACTAATTTTTTTTTTAAAAAAAAAAATTATATTAATTTACATATTGTCAGAAAGCTTTCAAAGTATACCACATTGAAATCTACATTCTGTTAATAAATCTTAATTACGTCATATTGTTGTGTGTGTGTGTGTTTTTTTTGTTTTTTTATTCAATCCACGGACTTAAAATATATATTTAAAACTACGGATAATAGTTGTATTTAGAAACTTGAGCATGCCATCTGGCCCATGGATATATGTCACCTAATATCCAATTACTAATAAACTGAGCTTATTAAATTTCTAAATTTTTAACTATAGTTATAGGTGCATTTTAAGATATAAATTATTATTAATTGAATGTTCAGTATTTTCATATATTTCTTTGGTTACATCAATTTAAATACTAAACTATATATCTCTTATTATATGATTATTGATTAAAAATAATAATTTTAAGACAACTTTACACTACTTTCACTATTAATTTTCGTAAGTATATATTTTCAATTATGATAATGTCAAGTCATTAATTGATTTTTTAAAGTTAACTTTTTAATACCCTCAAAAAAAAAAAATCTTAATTTTAGCTATGTAAGTTAATAAAAATAGAATATAGCATTGCATAGATTGGATGAAATTTCTCAACAAGTGATTTTAAATTATATGTATGTTTTTCTGGGAGGTACAAATAAATTTTTCTCAACACATAAAAGTAAATTACATGATTTTATTTAATAGCAACATATTATTATTATATAGGACAGCTGAAACTGGCTAAAGAGGCCACGTTAAACACCCAATCCAAACTTGAAATTACAAACATTTTAAAACTCTATGCAATAAGGAATGGCAGGACAGTAAGCATGAAAGACTCGTAACTAAAAGTTGCAGTGCCACAATAAGAGTCGTCTTTTTCTCTGAACTTCTCTGTTAATCCCTGTAAGATGCGGTATTACAATTAGTTTTTGTTTTAAAAAATATATATTTATACACACACACACACATATATATAATGTATTATCTTTCGTTCGAGTTTAACACACACCTTGACCAGAAGACAGCACCTGCATCATGAGAAAATGAATTTGTTGTGGTTAAAATTAATGGAGTTAAGATCAAAACTACAGAGAAAAAATGGAAAGAAAAGAAAAGAAAATAATGAGTGAAACATACTCAATGAAGTTGTCATATTCAATGGCCTGGACTTTGGTGCCTCTGAATCTACCGAACTTAGACACCAGTAAATCAATCACCGCCGGCGAAACTGCAAATCCAAGGCCCAAAAGTGCGTCTCGCAATTCACTTGCATCAATCCTCCCACTCCGATCCTTATCGAATTTCTCAAAAATGGTCTACAAGCCAAACATATATATATATATATAATCATGGAAGCTCAATGTCCACAGAACAGATATAACAGTATAGATATATATTATATTTATTACAGCAATAATCTTTGTAAATTGAAATAAGTTAGGATTCATTACATTTTCTACAGGTTATAGTAAGTATATGTCTATTCATATATATGTACATATATCCAACTTACTCTCCACTCCTGAAGACTGTAAAACAACGCGATGAACTCCTTGGGACCTGCAACAACAATTCACAAGTAAATAAAGAGATAAAAACCGATTGAAAATCGTAAATCTAGGCGCATTTTAGTCAGGTATGCACGCCAAATGTATGAACTGTTAACATGTGCACCTACAAGTGTATAGAAGGGGTTGGGGGGAGATGCAACAACTGCGACTCACCAATCTTTCTTGAATTATTATTGGTGAAAAGAAAAATGAGAAGACGAACAGTCCTCATGTTGAAGTTCTGATTGTATTCAGTGAGCATTTTCTGCATCTCCTTGTCGTCGATGAAGCCACTGTTATCCTGATCGGCCTTCTGAAAGCTAGCCACGACGCTGGGGTCGGTGCCGGGAGGGAAGGCCGACGGCTTCAGCGTCGTGAACGGACTCTTTTGCAGGTATCCGACTGTAGCGGTCTGTGTGATTATTTCTTGGGGGACCTTTTCTTCAATAACCATGTAGGGCGTTGTGGTAGAAGTGTAAGACGCTGAGGAAGAAGTATAAAGCGCTGAGGAACCGCCGTAGGAGGAGGCATAAGAGGAGGTGATTGAGCCGTAGGGTTCTTGGGACTGGGATGATGACGAGATACTCGTCGAAACGTAGCCATAGACAGGGTGAGGATGAGAGAACCCAGACATTATAATGATGATCTTCTGGTTAGCGGGGGAGAAATCAGAAAATGTTTAAATGGTTTTCGATTTTTATTGGTAAAGTTCGGTTGGATACTTATAGGCTTTAATGATTCATGTTTGGGCTCAATCTTGAAATTTATTACGAAATTGCCATCACGGTTCCATGAAACGGAGATATGACGGTTTCGCAATTTTCCTTTACCTCCACTTTTTACTTTTTAAATTGAAACTTTAAAAAAATAAATAAATAAATAAATCATAAATTATGGCTAAAATATTTTTATCCATATCTTAGTTTATTATTTCATTAATAATTTTTATTAAATACAATTGTAATTTATTGTTTTTGCTTCATTTATTTTTTATTATTTGGTTGACAAAAAATATTTGAATATATTATCCTTTTGAACTAAAATTTTAAAACTAATTTTATTATTCACAACACAATCATAAATCCTATTAAATAAATATTTAATGGTAATAACTTTTTAAAAAATGATACAGTCACTCTTCGTTATTTATTTTAAATTAATTATTTGATGATAAAAATTAAACATAATTTATCATTTTAGTATGTTACAATTTTTGTATCATCATTTTGATTTATATAAAAAATGTGGATGTTCATGCATCAACCTCACCATGTTGGCCTCATATTAGAGGACACATCAAGATAATATATATGTTTACCCAATTTTTTCTAAAAAAAAATTAAAATTTATGTAAAATTTCACCAATTAAGATAATGTAAATAAACAAAACACTACCCAAAAAAGTTAATAATAAAAGTTTACCCTATTTTAAGAAAGTAAAAGTTTATAATAAAAGTAAAGTTACCATAATTTTTTTTATTCATAAACATTATCAATTTAATAAGATTTAGCAAAATTTGATCATAATGTACCAATAATGCATTAATAAGTTAATTTATCGATTCAATTATCACGGACCATACTTTGTCTTATAGGATAATGACCGGAACATACTTACTTAAATTATATATATTCGAGTTAAGTAAAATAACTTAACTTTATTAATCATAACAGAGTCGCAGAAACATCATATCTCTTAAATGTATAATATAAACGTATGTACGAGGTTTTAAATTTTCTTATTTACATTACTAAACAAAAGTATGAAACAGTAATCTTAATCTCAGAGTCTAGCTTTAAAATTTTTCTCCATATCACCGCTCATTTTGTAGCAGTATCTTCGGTATCTTGAGAGTAATAGGAGAGTGAGATAAACTATCTCAATAAGAGATATTATAAAATCACAACATAATACATGCAATATATAGTTTTTCTATGTACAACAAAATGTATATCATATAATATTTTTAAAAATCAATATAAGAATCAGAAAATAGATTCACAATTATTTCATTGTATACTTTATCACTATTATGAAGGATCAATCAGTTATCATACATTATATGTAGGCACACATACTTATCACTAGTTCTCCATGTACCCAAACACGAAATGGCATACATGAGTACCTTGAAACACTGCTATCTCTAAATACGAAACTGTTAGGGCTCGCATATCAGATTATTTTTAAATACACCCAAATACAGAATGGTTAATTATAGGTACACATTTATCACTTTGGTAATACACCCGAATACAGAATGGTTATGTACAATCATATTAAAGTCTAGCATAATGTAGGTACTTTCAAAATAACTTCTTTCTACAATGAGTGATGCACACATATCAAAATCATATTTTAAAAACAAAAAGTGAAATAACACTCATATCAAAGTAAAACTTTAACAAATACTTAGCGAATACGAAAAATAAATCGAATACTTTCACGTTTTTATACTGAAAAAACGTAAAATATTTCAAAACTACATAGGTTATGAATCCATAATATCCACTTACTCATTTATTTATACTGAAAATACGTAAAATATTTCAAAACTATATAGGCTAATGAAATCATAACACTCACTTTACCTTAAAACCTTAATAGTCGTAATCTTAATTCCGACAGAGTTCTAGTTTATTTATGACATTTAAAAAAAAATCCAGCAGAGTTTCAGGATAATTTTTTGTCACTTTTTTTATTCAAAATATCCAACAAAATACTCAAAAAATTAATCTAAAAAATTAAAGAGAAACCGAACTTAAAAACTTAAGAAAAATGTTTACCTTGTTAACGGTTAATAACTTTGTTTTGACTGTGAGCTTTCTTCTTCTTCTCTTCCTCTTTTATTCTCATAATCTAGTAGAGTTTTTCTAAGATTTTTATCTCAAACCTTATAATACTGTCAAAAATTACACACTTTGTACTCCTTATTCCCTCATCTCTATGTTTCTCACTATTTTTCTCTCATCTAAATGTTTCTTCCTCCATTCTCTCATCCCTTATTTACAGGAATGGGGAGCCACGAGAGAAAGATTGTCACCATTATGTCATACTACTTCATTTAAAAGTTGTCAACTTTTATTATGTCACTTCATCTTAAAGATTACCATTTTTCATATGTCACTTTATCTAAAAGATTACTACTTTTCATGTATCATTTTATTTAAATGGTTACTACTTTTCAAATGTCATTTCATATAAAAATTGTCATTTTTCGTTATGTTACTTCATCTAAAAGTTATCACTTTTCACATGTCACTTCATCTAAAAGTTGTCACTTTATATTATATTACTTCATGTAAAAGTTACCATTTTTTATTTTACTACTTCATCTAAAAGGTTCCCACCTTTTTTCATACTTCTTCATCCTTATCAATATTTTTTTTGTTTGACTCTAAACAATGCCTTTAACCTTATTATATATTTCTAAACACATAAAAAAAACTAAATTAAATATATCAAATACAAAAAATTCGAGACTATTCTTGAGCGATCACATCCTCACCCCTTTAAAAAGAAATTTGGTCATCTAAATTGGACTTACCAATGGTCACAAACATATGAGGGTATTTGATCTTAATTTCTTCTTCCAACTCTCATGTGGCTTTTTCAGTCGAATGATGATGCCAAAGTACCTTTACTAAGGAGATTATTTTAGACCGTAATATATTTTCTTTGCGATCCATTATCTACACATGAAACTCAATGTAGGATAGGTTATTCTAAAGTGCAAGGGGTTCATATCAGAGTATATGTGATGGATCTAAGTGATATTTTTTCAGCATTGACACATGAAAGACATTGTGTATGTTGGCTAACTCATGTGACAATGCTAAAAGGTAGGCAATAACTCCCACTCTATCAAATATCTTTAAAAATCTGATAAATCTGGGACTAAGTTTTTCTTTTCTACCAAATCTCATGATCCCTTTAATTGGTGAGATTTTTAAAAATACATGGTCGCCTGCTTCAAATTTTAAATCTCTTTTCTAATTGTTGGTATAACTATTCGGCCTACTTTGAGCTTTCAGAAGATGTTTCATGATCAATTTCACATTTTTTGTAGTTTCTTCACTAATTTAAGTCCAAGTAGTTTTCATTCCCCAATTTCTTCCCAATAGATAGATAATTTGTTGGGTCTTTCGTATAAAGTCTCATAGGGTGTCATTTGAATATTGGACTAATTACTATTGTTATATGTAAACTCAATCAGAGGTAAATGATTGTCCTAATTATCTCGCAACTCAATAACGCAGGCTCATAGCATATCCTCTAGAGATTGGATTGTCCATTCTGGTTGACCATCCATTTGAGGATAGAAAGTTATATTAAAGGACAGTTGGGTCCCAATGACATTCTATAGACTGGTCCAAAATCTTAAAGTAAAACGAGGATCTCGATGGAAACGATTATAATTGAAATTCCATGCAATCTCATAATCTTCTTGATATAGAGCTTAGCCAACTTGTCCAGTGGATCATTTACTCTGATAGCTAGAAATGAGCAGACTTAGTTAATCTATCAACAATAACCCAAATGAAATCATATTAAAATCTTGTTTTAGGTAAACCCACCATAAAATCCATGGTAATATGCTCTCATTTCCACTTTACTACTAGCAAGGGCTGAAGTAGTCCTATTAGCCTCTGACGTTCAACATTCATTTGTTGACAAGTGAGATATTTCGGAAAAAAAAACTCTATCATATCATTCTTTATCCCACTCCATCGATATTTGGTCCTCAAGTTCTAATACATCTTAGTGTTTTTAGAGTGCATAACAAATCTAAAGCAGTGTGCTTCTTCTAATATCTTATTTTTCATACTACTATTATTCGACACACATATCCTATTTCTAAACTTTAATACATCATCTTCTTATAGTCTAATTTCTAGACTAAGTCCTTTACTGACTCTTCTATGATCGACTTTAAGACAAGATTAGATTATTAGGCTTCTTTAATTTTTTGCACTAAAATGGGTTGTACTTTTGTATTGGCTAAGTATCCTCTTGATTTCTTCTTTCAGACATTCAAATTTAACTTCTAGTACTCTTCTATGAGTCTTCACTCTAAGGCAATCATGTAGACAAGAGTGCAAGCACTCTTTCTATTAAGTATATTTGCCACCATATTATCTTTTCTTGGATGATATAAGATCTTATAATCATAGTCCTAAAGTAAATTCGTACATCTCCTTTGGTATATATTAAGTTCTTTCTACGAGAATAAATACTTCAAATTCTTATGGTCTGTATGAATCTCAGAATTTTTATTATATAGATAATGATGTCAGATCTTTGAGATAAAAACTATGGCAGCTAGTTCTAAATCATGAGTAGAATAATTCTGTTCATGATTCATTAATTGTCTAGAACTATAAACTATCACTTTTTCTGTGTTGCATTAGTACGCATCTCAACCCTTACTTTGAAGTATCACTCTGTTCATCTAAGAATGATAAACTTATGTGAGAATGGTTGGAAGACTCTGTTTATCAAATCTATAAATATCACAGGAGCATTTATTAGACCAAAAAAGCATGACTAAGAATTCATAATGGTCATACCTGGTTCTAAAGCCAGTATTGGGAACATTCTCTTTCTTAATCTTTAATTGATGATATCCAGAACGTATATCAATCTTTGAGAATCTTTTGCCTCCTTAAAGTTGGTCAAATAGATCATCAATACGA